CATCAACTCCAATCTTTGATCCAAATACAAAGCATAAGTCCTTACAAAAGCCGAATGATCCCACGAATTCGAATGAGCCTCATCGCGAAAATCAGACAAATTGAGAAGCCTGGTGCCTCTCCTCGTGGCATACATGATCTCTTGCTGAAACACAATATCACCATCATTGAGAAGACGGTGAATGAGCATCAAACACTTGATGGCAACAATCCAATCGCGGGTTTTGCCTAACCTTCTGGAAATCAACGAAACACAAGCACTCACATAGCCACGAGAGACAGAAGTCAAGTGAAGAATCTCACGGATGTACTTCTCGCTCGCAGGTTCATCATCATGGCTTGTAGCCTTAACAATAGCAACTTCCAGCTCCGGCGCCATGTTGCTGGCTACTTTCGCGAGCCCTATGCTCGTCTGATCCTTCACTGCCCCGATCGCCTTTCGAATCGTGGTCGGCGCCATGATATATAGCACAACAGAGATTTCAGATTTCTTCCCTTCTTATTGCTTCTATAAAATCAAAAAGATAAATCAAAGGTCACAACTTTACACCATTATGAAGAATTAGTATGCTCATAATAATGACAAATCCAAAGAAGAAACTATATGAAAAGTCCATCTTAGTTGGAGTCCACTATATAAGTCCTCTATATCCATTTTCCATTCTATTCAGAAAAAAATCAAATCTGTTGACTTGAAAATAGAAGTTTCTATTTTTGTTCCAATAAATTCAAATACGATAAACTACAACCAGAACAAAAAAAGATCAAGAACTAGCAAAATCACAACTTTTTGACTTGAAAGTATTAATTTTCTATATTTGGGTTATTAAATTCAAGAATCTTAAAGTATACCCAGAAAACAAAAATCCAAGAACTAGAAAAATCACCAGCAAAAAATAGAAAAGACTAATGAAAATTGAAATGGGTTCGAAGTACATACACACCAGAAAAGAGGCTGTAATGCACAGATCTATGAAATGGGTATGTTTTAAAGCATTGCCGACAAATCGTGGCCGGAATTCTCTCTCTCTCTCTCTAGATTTGATGCGAGCTAAGAGGAGAGGGCGAAATGGGAATATAGTTAAAGGAAGGGGAGTGGAAAAAGGAAAGTAGATCTATAAAAGTGGAAGGATAATATGGACCGTTGGATCAGAATCGTAGATTAGCGGAAGTGTCGGAGGAACATAATACGTTGTCGGAGCGAAGACACCGTGGCACTCACACAATATGTGAGGGATACAAACTGGATAAGTATTGTTTATTTATCTAAACAGAGTATTAGTACTACAATTTAATAAGTTATTCTATTATTTTGTTTTCTAGGTTATTACAATAAATGTATATGCTATATTATGTCAACTTAGTTTTGATAGTATAAAAATATATTACTTTTCTATCGATAAACATAACTTAAACTCAATTTTTGTTTCTCAAGTCTCTAGCTTCATTTCATTTTTAGTTACAAGCGTTTAATTGGATAGGAAAATTTTCATCAATATGTCACTTACTAGTTTGTTGCTACGAAAAATGAAAATGGTACGAGGAAAGAATTTTTGGACCCGTTGTTTGCAATAAATTTATTTGAGATACAAAAATAAATTGCAACCACAATATAAATATAAAGAAACATAGTTTTATTGATAAAATGACGTGAGCACAATTCTGTTTGTTCCCTTGATTCTTCTCTTCTAATTATCTCCGTAATTCGAGGGCTAGAACAGTGTATTTCTCGAACGTAGGATGATGCAGATTTTCATGGATTTATTTGATATCCATGAAGTATGTTGTTGTCACGACCCAAAATCCCACCATAAGTGTCGTGATGGCACTTAGTCTCTAAGACTAAGTAAGCCGTTTATAATAACAATTCAAGCCATTTTTTTAAAAGGATAATCGAAACCAACAACGGAAATAAAGATACAACCTCCCAAGACTGGTAGTACTGAGTTACGAACTCTAACTTAATACATGAAATGATTTGAAAGAAATTAAATATACATTACTGCTCGAATAATAATTAACAGTACGATAAGAGGGAAAGACTCCA